TATTGGATAATGTATTGATGAAACCATTTTTGTGCACAGCAACCATTTTTACTTTATAGTTGAACATTTTGTTTTTTAAGAGGATTTTTTCAAAGTACATAGTCATTTTATTTGCTTATGTTTTTGCTTTATGTGATTTATTTATCTTTTTAGCATTTACTAATAGGGTTTGATAAGCCATGAGTGCTTCATACAGTCTCTTTAATATATGAGGTGGGGGTTTTGTTTTTAAAATATTTTGCTGGAAAATTTGTAAGTTTTCAAGACAGAAATTCACTGGTTTTCTTGGACAGGCACCATTGTAACAGATCTATGACTCGGAGTCCTGAGACTGACAAACTCGGTGACCTTTTTTACTTCACTGCAAGTTTTATGTGTTTCCAAATTATATTATTCCAGTGTCTGAACTTTTTACGCTCCCATGTATGCATGACGTCTGTTTCTTCTCTGTGATACTGATGGTCTGTCCCTACTCATAGTCTCAATGATTTTTATTTTAAACTTATTTAGTACAGCGTTGTTCCTAGTATATTCTTAAAGTGCAAATCAATTATGTCAATCACATCATTTAGAAGAAGGTGGTTTTGTGTGCTTAAATAGCTGTCACCTAAAGTTTTAATGCCCTTTTACATGCAATCTAATCTTTTGCAGGATGGACACTTATCCTGTCCCCTTCATCCTATGCAGGATTGGAGGCTATATACTATCCTTTATTAAGATTAGTAATATTAAAGTCAATATTTTCTCTTGCTATCTTTCTAAACAGACACAGTGATTTCAAGCATGATCTTTTGTTGTAGCACATGCCAAGGGTCCTCCATTAAAGTGTGTTTTCCATTTTTCTGCTAGGTTGCTTTTTGCTGCTGCAGCACTAACCCTTTTTTTGGTAGATTTACAAAGAGAGAGACCAAAGTACGTGCTGACATGCTTCTGCTAGCTTAGTCTGGCTGGCCTGGGTGACAGCAGTGTGAAAGGCATGGAAACAGGAGTTTTACCTTGTGCTGGCAACTAGAGTGGTTGTGTGTTGTCTTTGGGGTGCTTTTATTTTGCTAGCATGTGTTACAGCCGCTCTGGCTACTCTCTTACCCCTACTACTTAGATCATTTAGCTTTTTCTACCGTCATACCTTTTTTTGCTACGTAGACACGCAAGGACTGTGAGTATTTCCAGTTTACAGCAAGTTATGTCTCTCTTGCACATGTTTTCGTGGTCTGTAATGTAGACTTTCGGTCTCTTGACTCTGGCAAGCCAAAATGTTTAAAATTATCTGTGCTTTATGTTTCTTGTTCATTGTCTTCCCTGCAGATTTAAAGGTAGTCTTCAAGATTTGCATTAGGCCTGGCTCCTCCTGCATCTACAGATCCTGAACTTGAGCAAAATGGTAACCCAGGGTGGTTACTGGTTAGTCTGTTGGAGGAGCATGGGAGTGCAGACCTTTCGTGCTCCCAGACCTTCTGCTGTGCCCATTCAACATACTAATCCAGGAGACTGAGCTGGCCTCTCTTTTCTTTCTGCTGCATTAGTTTTCTGCTAGGGTAGTAAGTTATATCAGCACACATGGTTCAAGGAGCATCAAAGCAAACACAGAGTAGATCAAGTGGGGAGGGGTAAAGATAGGATGTGAAAGTGGTAAGTTTTCTGTTTTCTATAGATCCACCTTTGCCAGGGTAGGCTAAATGAAACGGTGTGAAACAATCCTGAATTGAACCATGAACCATCTGCAGTGAAGACAGATCCTTATTGTTTAGATTTCTTATTACTAAAGGTCTTGTTCTTGTGGACAAGAGGTATCATAAGTGTATAAAAACAATTCACAGACAACCCAGTAGTATATATGCTGATCAGAGTGAAAGGGAAGAAAAGAGCCTCTATTTATGGGCTGCTTTATTAAGCATTCATTAGGCAGCTTTAAACAGATTACCATAAGCTATCCTAAGGAGTTTTTAATCTTTCTTAATGAAACTGATAATTTAATTATAAAAATATTGAAACTTGAACTTTCCTACAAATAATATACCAATAGGGAGCATTCATAGAATGACTTACCAAGCATTCAGAATGATTTATGCTTTTGTTGACTAGCTGGGGACTTTTAATTATTGAAATAAAAGCTGTGAGAGCTTATACTGATTTGGGAGTCTTTGAAACAACCTTGCACATGATGACTTGGAGTAGAAACTGGGAATTTTAAACTTGTCTGGAAAGTATTAATTCAGCATTTAAGCTCTTAATACAGTTTATCAGGAAAAAGCAAAAGCAATCCTGCTGGTGTCCTACCTGCAGCCTGTGCTGTCAGTTCATGATTATCCAAAATTCAGTAATATCTGTAGAAACACAGCTTGGTTTTATACAATTGTTCTCTACACTGCAAAGGTAAACAGCTCAGCTTTGCCAGTACAGCTCCGAGTTTCTCCTGATGTCAGGAAAGTTTAGAGAGCAAAACACAAGAATATCCGTGTAGTTATAATTTTTGTATGATTTTTAACCAAATTTATTTAGTTTGTGTAAAATTCAATAATAAAATCTGTTCTATAGAATTGAAGTTTATTTGTTCAAGGAAGAGCTTGAGCCTGGTGGAAAGCAGAGATCTTTCTTATTTAATGCTTTTGTTTTTTTCATTATTCTATCATAAATAATACAAGGTAAACATAAAAATAATACATAAGCATCCTAAATGCTTTGTTTTGTTTTTTTGTTTGATGAAAACAAACTCCTTGGGTTTTTAATAGAAACTGATTATTTAACTTCAAGAAGTGTTAATTACCAGTAAGTGTACAAAAGGAAGGACATTTTTATTGAGTGGAACCAAATTAGGATTTTCTAATAATTTTTTAACAGACTTACGTAGTAGTACTAGCTGAGATATGATATTTTCATCATTCAACTGTTAATCATGCTGTGACTGTGAAGTACAACCCTTGATTATTATTTATTTAAACCATTCTGGGTTCTTTAAGTTTGATGTACTAGTAGTAAGTTACTTTGCTTTTTTTGTTGCCACATGTGGGACTTTGCCTCAGATATTCGTCAGTGCTGAGTAGAATGTACTTGCCAAATCCTCTTTAAACATTGCTTATCTTTGTATATGATGCAGTTATTCTGTATTTTTGCAACCTTTACAGCTTTACAATCATGTCTGGTGCTCAGTGCCATCGTGCTTATGCAGACCCAGTTTTTATTGACTTCATGAGCCCATGTAACGTTGGATTTGAGCAATCTGAATTTTGTTGGCAGTTCTTCCTGGCAAATGATGTGTCAGAAAATGAAAAATTTCCTATAATGTTTGTACAGTACACCATAAAATAGTATGTGGCCACTAGGTTTTCATTGTCATTAAATCACAGTAATAATAACCACAGAAGTCTTAAATGACAGTAATGTTTGTGCTAACATATAAGCATAAAAATCCTAAGTCTGGGTCAATGCAGAGAAGACGGTCTCTTCCCTGAATAATTCCTCCTCTAAGAGCAGTTCTGACTGATCAGTTGTTCAGGGCAGAATAATCTTTACACAGTCCTCATCTGCTTAAAAAGTTGATTTCATGATTCCTGTGAGAGATGTTACAAAGATGTCTAATCTCCTTCTACGACTGTGAGCTGATTTAGCTCACTTTCAAGAACAGACTTTTTGGGGGTTTGGGTTTGTTTTTGGGGGTTTTTTTAACTAGAAATTGCTGCTCTATAGTGTCTTCTAAATATTTATCAGTTTCATGAATAGTCTTTCTTTTTATTCCCATGAAGTTCATATTTTTTTATGGTGGAGACATTTCATGTGGTTAGTTACTTTCTTTTTGTGATTTTTTTTTTTTTTCTGTTCTACATCGTATGTTTCATCAAATTGACCAAAATGTCTCAGAAAACTTCATGGTGTTCTTGAGTTAAAATGAAAATACTCTTCAGTGGCAGCTTACACTATATGTTATCAGTTATCCTCATAATGATGATGTTTTTCCTATTGAAACTGATAAAATGCTATGTGATTATCACCTGTATTTTTATACATCCAATTTGCTTCAACCATTTCAATTACAAGTATTATTTGGAGGATGGATTTTTTTTTTAACTGGCTATTGAATATGTTGCAGAAATTTATCTTAATAAAGTTAAAGTTCATGTAGCTTGTGTTATGCAGGGTCTGTCATTCTTTCATTAGGTGTTGAAGTAAACTTAGTGATCCTGAAGTAATTTTTAATTTTACAGGCTTTAGGCCCCATAAATGCACAACTATGTTAGTTCAGTGCCCTTCGTTGTAGTTCTTTAACCATCTTTGAAGTATCATTAGGAGATGCAGTCATGTGTTCATAATGTGGCAAATTGTTGCATTATATAATCTTTGTTTTTAATAAAACATGGATTTAGAGAAACAACACTTATTAAAATAAATTGTTGGGTTTGTGTTCCTAATTTTTGTTTTGTTTTGCTATGCCAGAGAAGTTGACTGGATTTTATTAAATATTTCTTCTGTCACTGCACTTTATAGCAGCTCTTCAGGCATCTCTTGAAATATTTAATCTCTTGTTCCCTTTAAGACAATATTTTCAGCAAACACTAATTAATCTTTGAAATAAACCACACTTCTGATTAGTATATTGTTATTTAATACAGGTACTTATTAATAAATTTCTATACTTCCTTTGCATCTGCCTCATCCTCAGATAGTTGTACATGTATGTGATGTACCTCTACCTCATAATCAGATACTCATACTCTTACAGAGATTAATGTATAAGTGTCTTGAGGAAACAGGCATAGGAACATTTCTGTAGACATTTAACTAACTTCTTGCTTTTTTATTTCTGCCAATACCAACCTCACTAAAACCCATGATTATATCTGACGTCATCTGCTTTCTGGATATATACTTGCCCCTTTAAACCTCAATTCTGCAAGATTTTTTTTTACTCTTAAGCATAACCACTTTTCATCCTTCAGGTTATAGATACATTATGAAATAAGTGGAATTCTGAACTGTACATTTTCATGTTTTCTTCACAGAATTTTTAAAGATGTCAGGAGATATACCATTAAATATTAATATCAAGGAGCCCCGATGGGATCAAAGCACTTTTGTTGGACGAGCTAGTCACTTCTTTACTGTAACAGACCCCCGGAATATTTTGTTATCTGATGCCCAACTGGAAAATGCAAGAAAAATTGTGCATGATTACAGGTATGGCATTGATCACTTCTACTGCTAGCACAAAAAAGTCCATGTCCATGATAATACATGGTTATATGTTTAAAAGGAAATATTTAAAACATTGTATTCATTGCACCACTTTGTCTTCTTATTTCAGAGCTTGAAACACTTTAAAAAAAAAAAACAAACAACAAATTTGCTCATGAATGGGGAAGTTATATCATCTGAGAACCCCTGTTAAGTATTCTGAAATACAGAAGTGTCTAATTCTGAAAATAGTTAATATGACAACAGAGCTTAAAATTTCCCCTTATGTGCTAAATTGTTTGAAGCAAGTAGTTTCTTAAATACTTGCAAAGTAAATTTTTAAAGTTTCACGCTAGTGACTCCAGAGACTTTAGCTGTAAAATCTAGCACAGGTTTGAGTAAATAGAAATTTGGTGCTGGATGTATCAACTTGGCCAATATAACCACTGCCAGGAGTTTTGGTTATTTTTATTTCACCAGTCCATTTAAAAGCTGAATATCTACAAGGTAGCTATGAGGCTAGATTAACTTAGTATGAACATCCCAAAATAATTTTGATGCCACATTTGTCACTGGAGGTTGCAGCATTTTATAACAGTTTTGCTTTTTGCTGTTGTCTTGTTCTGTTTTTTAACTTGTCCCAAGACAAGGTATTGTGCCACCTGGCTTGACAGAAGATGACTTGTGGAGAGCAAAATATATCTACGATTCAGCCTTTCACCCAGACACTGGTGAAAAGATGGTCTTGATTGGCCGAATGTCAGCTCAGGTACCCATGAACATGACTATCACAGGTTGTATGATGACCTTTTATAGGTAAGTGATGGCAGTAGAACATATAAAACATTTGCCTACAAATTAGATAAGTGAAAATCAATGTTATTGCCAAAAGAGCATTTAGAAGATATATAATAAATATTTTAAAATGTAAAATTTTGCTTCCTTTTCTCTTCTCTCCCTGCATTCCCTCACAGTGGTTAATGGTTTCCTCTAGAAGTAGTTGTGAGATAAGCCCTTAGCCTCTCTCCTTCACCATCCCACTTTTCCTCAAACTGGGAAAGTTGAATGTTCCAAAATCCCATCCTTGTAGGAGAGTTGTGTGAAGGACAAAGAGGAGGAGATACCCAGGAATTTCTGACCTTAGAGATCTGGCATGTAGGATGTTCTGTCTGCCAAGTGAGTATTCGGTATACTTTGGTCCATCAGTCATCTAGTTCCTCCAACTCCTGTTTGATCCTTCCATTTCCTCAATAGTTCTTGAATCACCAGTACAGTGAAGTCCACAGCTGAAATCAGTATCCATGTTAGAAATATTTTTGTGACACAATGCTTTGTTAGCAAGAACAGGTGGGAGGTTCAGAGGAAATAACAATAACATTTTTGATGCTGAGATATTACAAATTCTTGACTGACACTCCAGAAAGGCACAGCCATTTTGAATGTTGCATATATACATGTGTGTTTAAAAAACAGTCGAGAATATGAATAAAACCATCAGTACAGCTGCCCATTCACAAGCACTGCTTCCTGTTAACTGTTTATTCTTTTATCCATGCTCTGTTATTATCTGTAATACTTATAGCAGCTATAAACCTTTTATTTGCATTAGTGGTAGAGTCACTTAGATTCAAAACCAGGTAGTTTATTAGCCTGGAAGACATTGGTTTCTTTGGATCACAAATGGTAATGTGAGTCATGCCTGAACTTTATAGCAAGCCTAACATCTTATACATAGCAGGAGAAAGGAAACAGGAAAAGATTAATTGGGAAAGAGAGTTGCAGATGCACAGGAAGAAAGGATGAAAAACAGCAGTAGTGACAGAAAAGATCCAGCTAGTTTATCCACTGCTTTTTTGGCATCTTACTCAGTACTGTATACTACAGAGAAGAGTACACTTTCAAATCTCCTGAATCTTTATCATTTTTTGCAATTTAAAGAAAAAAAACGTATCTTCCCATTTCAGAACCAAAGCCTCATGGGATACACGCACCTTCTACTCTAGCATCTCCTCTTTGCTTTCCTGCCTGTTACAGGATAATTGCTATGACTAGTGCTTTTTCTTTAGCACTTTTGATTTCCATATCAGCTCTTCAATGAGAACCACATTCCTGTTACCATTACTGCCTCTGTTATTAAATAATATAAGCTTTGAAGTCCTATGAAAAGTTATTTTAATGGTCAGGAAATGGTTTTCAGTAGCAACTGTTACTTTTGGTGACTGAAATTCTGGTGGAGCAGAATTTTCAGTGGTTCTCCACTGGGGGCAGAGTTTGTGGTCTGAGTATGCAAAGAAAGGCTTTTGCCCTGGTATAGTCTCTTAACCTCCATTTATTCATGAATCAGGAAATTCCTGATCCAGAGGTCCTCAGGCTGATATAGTCTCTTAACCTCCATCTCTTCAAGAATCAGGAACTTCTTGATCCAGAGGTCCTCAGTGGATTTATTTTTCATAAGTTTGTCCCATTGTTTAAGTATGCTACTGGTTTGAGAGCAAAAGCATTCATCCCTCCACAAAACAGCCCCCATACATTGTGAACCAAACTGACTGTCACTTCTGTTAGTTATCAGCATAACTATTTGTAAAGTTATAATATCTGCAGTTTAACAGGGGCCACATTAGCTTGTTAAATGAGGACTCTGAAACTTGTACAGAATATATTTTTTCCACTGCCCCTGATCTGCGCTCACAGTTTAGCACCTTTTTGTCCTAAGGCATCTGCATATTGGCACTGACATAATTTATGGGGATTCCTTGGAGCTCTTTGGGTTTTTTTGATAATTGTTCATCTGGTTCATACTGTACTGAACCAAATTAATTTCTGTGCTGTGCCGGTACTTCTTAAATGTGCAGATATTTTCATGAAAATAATTTTTCATTTTGCAGTTAAGTGTCTCTTTATCTGGCTCTACATGCAACTGAATATTTTAGTGTCACAGGGATTTGTTAAAACAAAGGCATCATATTAGCTTTTTTAAGACTGAGAAGATAAAATGTATATCCTAAAATCCACCTCTCAGTCATTTAAGAAGCTTCCTAAGAGAACTAGCAGACTGTAAAGGAATAGTAAGACTGGAAGAGTATTCTAGAAATTTGAGAGTTTCATATTTCTCTGTGTGTTTTTTATAGAGGGGTTTGCTCTAATGCTTTTGCTATTACAACAAACCTTCGTCCCACATGAACATTGCTATTTAATTACAAAGCTTTTAAATTCTGTTCTTAGAAGTAGCTTGTACTTTCGTTATTAAGACAGTATCTCATTGACTGTATTGTTTCATTCAGATAAACAAGAGCTTCTGCGTGATTACTGCTTGCACTTGGTTTTCTGGATTTGCTGTCATTTTTCTGTGCTGTTGATTCAGCAGTATTTTTAATAATAATAATTGTTTCTCATTTCAAGAACGACACCAGCGGTGGTTTTCTGGCAGTGGATTAACCAGTCCTTCAATGCTATAGTAAATTACACGAACAGGAGCGGTGATGCCCCGATTACTGGCAGGTCAGACACTGAACCAGATTCCTCTGATGTACTTAAAAATTGCTCTCTGATGTACTGGAACATGACTGGGCTCTAAAGTTTGAGGTGATAGAGGGATAAGTTTTTTTCATTTATGCTTGTTATTAATTTGATATGCACAGACAAGAAGTCTGAGAATGATAGAGGCAAGAACTCAATTTCTGCCATTAAAGATAAGCCTAAGCACCTTGATCATAAGCTCTTAACAGCGAAGAATTTAATAGGAGTCTGTGTTGTATTGCTCAATCAACCATTTGAAAGTGCCTCATCAGTTTGGTGTTACACCAGGATATTTCTGAGTTGATATTTTGTGTGGACCTTCAGGTGTCTCTCTGTGTGATCTTCTCAGTGCCCTGCAGTATAGCAGACACCACAATGCGTGCTTATTTGCAAAAAGAGGACCCTTCAAGGAACTAGTCTGCACAGTACTTGTTTCCACTTGAAGGCAAAGAGAGAGACTAAATAGATGCAGAAAGCTAGAAATCATGAATAGGAGACTGGAATTGCAGTGCTTGACTTCCTTGTTTTGAGGTTGACTTGTTTATAGATGTCCAGGAGAAAGCAGTGGATTTGAGGATATACAGACACCTCCTAGCTGGGAAGTATGTAAAGTATGTTTTAGGGTACATTGGGTTGGATTTGGGTGTTTGTAGCATAGCTGGTCTGCATGTGTGGGTTTCAGTACAGTTGATTTTAATTACTGTTGTAGACATGGGCTTAGAAATACAAACTTGATTTTATTAGTTTAAGCAATTAGGAAATTAAATACAGAACTAAATCCTTCAAGGTGTTCATTCAGAGACATGAGAAAATGCTGAACAGATAGCAATGCAGAACCAGAAGAACCTGATTCAATGTTAAAATGTTGTTTGCATGTGATTTTTTACTGCTAGTGAAAGTGTTTCATTGAATGTCCCATATGTGTCTTCCATCCACATCTTATTGTAATCTCACAGAAAAGTCATCTTCTTAACTTTTGGGGGGCATAACTACATGTGTAAAATGTAATTATTTTTAGCAGTGACATAAATGTAGCTGCTGTGCAAATGCTTTTATTTTTGTTTTAGCCAGCTGGGAACAGCCTATGTTTCTGCTACCACGGGTGCTGTTGCGACAGCCTTAGGACTTAATGCACTAACAAAGGTATTGCTGCTATTTTTTTCCATCCTTAACTAGACTTTGGTGTTCTGTGAGATGGTAACGGCTCATTTCTCCTCCTGTGTTATCTGTGTCATGTTGTGCACAGCTCCCAGTATGGAGTTGTAATGGCCATTGGCAGCTCCCTTCTTTAGATCCCAACCATATTTTTACCCCATGTAGGTGCCTTTATGTATATTTCAAACAGTCTGTCCTCCTTATATGTATATCAAACAGCTTTGTGTTCTGTTAATACAAACTGTATCTAATAAGGTGCCTTTTTGCAGTTTCTTTTTTACATGTCAAAGTATCTAATAGCATTGGAAAGTTAATTGTAGTGGATGTGTAATTACAATAATGTGGTAATGTGGATGCATTATCCCATAAACAGTATAGGTGTGTTTTTAGGGTGCAGTATCATCTCTGCAAACGTGGACACCTACTCTAGACTGGCTGAAGAACTTGTAAGGAGGTGCTGCTCTTAAATGTAGAAAACTCAAATTCTTTAAACAAGTGCACAGCACAATCAAGAAAAAAGATTGTTTACAAAAAAACAAACAAAAAAAAGAACACACACAACTTCAAAAATCTATTTGTACCCCTCTACTTATGCTTTAATGTACTGGGAATTGTATAGCATTAACAAGTTATTTGAGAGACTATTCTAAGCAGAGTAATTCAGATTATACAAGACTGACTAGATGAGTAGCCTCCATACGTAGTCAGTGCCCTTAGGTGCAGAGCAGCTGGTATGGATGTTGCTGGCTGTGACCTTGCCAGCAGAGACAGTGAAGTTAAGGTCTTTTTAATGTTGCTGTTGGGCTGACAGGCATGCTCAGAAGCTGACACTTCTCTGCAGTGATGCTACTAAATTAAGATGGGTTTTGCCAATCTCCTGCTACTGCTCACTCTGAGAGAAGTATTTGTGATTTACGTCTTGTTTGTTTGTTGTTTTACCTCTGTCCCACCAATGAGTTTTCACTGAATTTTAATTGATAGGAAATAAATCTGATCTACAATTAGCACATGAAGCATTTTAGTGTGATTATGTAATTATTTTTCTTCTTTTTTCTTTTTTTTTCTTCTCTTACCGGTTTTTACAGCATGTCTCACCTCTTATAGGACGGTTTGTTCCTTTTGCTGCTGTTGCTGCTGCTAACTGCATTAATATTCCACTAATGAGACAAAGGTAAGAAAAAACAAAGATCACTCATCCTAGAAGAAAGGATGTTACTGAGTTTTTTAGATTAGCAAGTTACTAAATAAAGCACATTATGTATCTTTAGCTTGTTTCAAAACCTTGCAAAAACCTCATGCCTGATCTTGTTTTGATTGCTTGGTTGTGAAAGGTATAAAATAGAACATCATCATTCTGATCAGATATCCATAGATTTCTTCAGTCTTAGATCTCAGAAGGCAAGTACCAGTCCTTCAAAACTTGATCACATGGACCCTTAAAATACAAACTCCACTTTGGAAAAATACAGTCATTTCAGAAATGGTGCTTCAAATACTACATGCAGAAGTTTGTCATAGAAGTCAGGCTCTGTAGTTCTGTTTAATCATCTGAGATTACAAAAATATGCACTTTCTCAGACACAAAATTTCGTATGTATTCTGATTTGACTAGGACTAAGAATAGAAGTGAGAAAAAAAATGAAAAGGTTATGGGCAGAAAAGGGAAAATTTAAAGTTTTTATTTACAATGAAATTCAATCCATGGTATTATTTTATCTCTTACAAAAGATGAGAAGAATAAAGGCAGTCCTCAGTATATCTGCCCTCTGTCTGCTTCTCACTCCCGTAGAAGTTCTCCCCAGTATGTGAGTTTAACACCTAACCCTGCACTCGAGCAAAAGATCTAATGAAGAATCATACAGTTACAGAAATGTAGTTTGTTTTGTGCATCCTTTTATACTTTAAAATATATTCTTAGTGGTTCAAATGAAAATTCAGACTAGAATGCCAGAGGGGAATTTTCACAAAGACTTTTGTTGAAAGACTTAGTGAAACTAATCTTCCTGTATTCCCTGTGTTGTCTGTGGGAAAGGACAGACTACTTCCAGAGCAGTTCAGAAAATTCCACTTTTCTGAATTGCTTTTTGAAGGAACCTCTCCTTTCTGTGGACTACAGAAACGACATATTTCCTTTCTTCCTCCTTGGAAGGCATGTAACCAGGCTCAAGCAGCAGACTGCTGTTATATTCAGTTGTTTACTTTTCAGCGTATTTTTCACCAATCTTCCTCTGCCTTGACATTTTTGTACCAGAATGTTACGAACAGGCTAACTTGGAAAATAAAATAAAAGCCATAATTTTTATAATTGACAATTTTAAGGGGACGAAGATAAGGTGACAAAAAAGGGGAATAAATACATGTCAGTCACTGCTTTATTTTACCCCTTATTCAACAGGGAACTCAAGTTGGGAATCCCTGTCACAGATGAGAATGGAAACAGACTGGGTGAATCAACAAAAGCAGCTCAGCAGGCGATTACCCAGGTGGTTATATCCAGGATTCTTATGGCTGCTCCTGGCATGGGTAAGAGTAACTGCAGTCATGTGCAGCTCCTGATTATCAGTTCCTAATGTGAGAGTGAGCTTAAATTCTGTATAAGTGATTTTTTTCAGAGGCCAAATTATCTTACCGTTAGGCAGGCAGTATTTACATTTGTGTTAAGAAGTTCCACAAAGAAATTTACATTTCTTACTGTGAGAACATCCACAGTGTGTTACACTGAAGTGCAGCAGAAAAGCTCCTAGTATGCTTTTGCAGAAAAGATAGGGATAGCAAAGGAATGGTAGCAAATTCTGCTTGAGTGGAATTACTTTAGTGAAGAGTAGGTGCTTTGACCAGTGCCAAGTTACTGAGCTCAGGTTTAGTTATGTGTGAAATTAGATTTGCTTATTGGGAGAATTTACCTCTGTATATACCAATCCAGTATCTTGAATTGGCAGTGTGAAATGAAAGCTCAGTTAATGACAAAAGGCTGTGAAACTTGTATTAGCTCATCTTAACAGAAAATTAAAATCAAGTGCCTTTTTCTCCAAGAGTAATGCTTTTCTTTTTTTTTTTTTCCTCATTTGCAGCGATTCCTCCCTTCATAATGAATACACTGGAAAAGAGAGCCTTTTTAAAGGTTAGTCTTAGATAACCTGCATCATGCATTTAATATCCTAAGTTAATATTTTCATGAATTTAAAGTATTTTCTGAGTTTTCATATTTACCTCCCAAATGTGCCTCCACCCTGGAAGGACATCACTGTAGAGCTTGCTTTACAGCTGTAGCATTCTTCATGCCTTTCTTAGAGATACCTTGGTTCTTTTTATCGTACTATAAAATAACATTAAGAAAATATGAACTTTTTTGTTCTTTTTATAGTTTTTCTTAAAAAGCAGAGTTCCTCCTAGTAAACAAAACTTCCTTGTACCAAGGCTTGGAATACAGTTTATTAGAAAAATATTTTTCAATGTTATAATGCTTTTTTCTCAGGATATCAATAAGTAGGCTTTGCTTAGCTGCTGTAGCAGCAATTTGACTTTGGAAACAACAATGATGACAAAAATCTCTTTTCAAAATGACCTTTTGAAATTTAGTGGATGAGCAAGTGCAGGGTAGGCAGAGAACAGGCATGCTTCATCAAAGATTACGTATTTCCTGTATTCTATTTGTGCTTATGTAGTGTGAAGTCAAACACCTGGTATTAGTATATATATAAACTAAATCAACACTGTGCAATGTGTGTGCATGAGAGGGTAAATGAAACTAATTATAGGCTTGTCTAACACAAGAGAAATAATATTCAGATGAGGAACTCTATAATTCTTTACCAGTAAAGGGAATTTCATCTTCCCCAGCTGATATCTCTGATTTACTTACTTGCATAGCTCCAGGCAAAGTCTCTGCCTGTGAAACCCACCCAACAAGCTGGGAACAGCAGTCTCCTTCCTGTTAGAAAAAGTTAGGAAAAGCGTGGTCTGAGTTTCCAGACCCTCCCTTGGAAAAGTGGCTTGCGTGCTGACTGGGCAGACAAGCAGGGGAAGCTGCCTGGTTTTGTTTGCCTAAGATAAAGCTTTCTAAAATATTTAAATGATATTTCTTATTATTTCTGTCCTTCACTTACTAGTGCAGAGTTAGATTAACCGGTTACATACACCATTTGAAAGTGCTTCTGTGTATATAAATGCAGCGTTGAGAACACATCCCAAGCATCTTCCAATTTTAAAAGCTTTTCTTTTCTGAAGCACTTTGTGTTTCCCCCCCATCCTTGTTAACAGAAAACACTGTTGCTCCGAATGTAAAAACAGGAAACATGGCATTTGAGTTTTACAGTGAAAGTCAGTGTGTGGTGCTTATATCTCCTGAAAGATGTCAAACTGCATTGCATCCAAGCACACTATTTGTCTGCAGTATAAAGAGCCCTATACTGATTTGGCTAATTCTTAACTGCTGATTTCTTTTGACCAGTGCCCTGTTTGCAAAGTAGCTTTAAGCAGAATCACAGAATCACAGAATATTAGGGATTGGAAGGGACCTCAAAAGATCATCTAGTCCGATCCCCCTGCCAAAGCAGGAACCTAAATGAAATCACACAGGAAGGCGTCCAGGAGGGTCTTGAATGTCTCCAGAGAAGGAGACTCCACACCCTCCCTGGGCAGCCTGTCCCAGTGCTCTGTCACCCTCACTGTAAAGAAGTTTCTTCTGAAGTTTAAGTGGAGCCTCCTGTGTTCCAGCTTACACCCATTGCCCCTTGTCCTACCAATCAGTTTATGATACTCTTGTGTTCTTGAGAGTGTATTACTTGGAACACTAACACTTGTTTAAAAAAAAAAAATCATAAACTTAGAGCAAAGATTATTTTATATGTATTTGACATGGGAGAAATGTCTCAAATGCTATCAACTCAGCTGGCAAATACATGACACTTGTAAAGAAGTTGCAACAATTCTCAGGGTTTAGAGACAAATATCTATTGTTTTTGTATGGTATAATCAATATAAGGGTGTTGTGAATTTTTCAGATCAGCAAAAATGAGCGAATTCTTCAGTGACTACTCAGTGGTCTTTGGTACCATCATGACCGTTTATGCTCACCTGTTCCTCCCCCTCAGCCTCAGAGACTGTGAGTTCAGGTGAAACTGCTATGCAGGTAGTCAGTGGTAACATGTCGTAGAGATTAGTATTAAAGCCATTAAGGAATGAGCTGCATTTTAACAAGCAGCTTCTGCATGTTCTCTTGAGATTTCAGAATCACCATCCCATTTGCAGTACTCCAACACCATCCACACAATGCTTTACTAACTCATTTTCCTTAGCCTTTGCTTTGCACACCATCACTCTTGAAAATAGTTCTTGTATGTTTGCCAAAGCCTATTAAGCAACACGCAAGGCCAGAAAATAGTCAACTAGTTTTGAAGTAATGAAGAAGATAGAAATATATTCTGCAATAAGAGATAGAAAGAAAAAAATAAATGGTTCTGGAATGCTGATGTCAGTGATAGCAGGTTATCATCCTCTGATATTTGAAATAAGATGTAGGTTATAGTGCTATTCATCCTCCATATTCTGGCATTGTTTCGCATGAGGATATTTTGATGGTAACATTAGAATGAATTAACAATATTCGCAAAGTTATTGCTAGAAAATGACTCAAGAATGTTTTTAGAACACAAGTACATACTTACTGTTTCAAAAATAATTAATTATTTCTTAACTTGAAAAAATACTTTATATATATATGTGCTATTGCTGTAGGTTTCAGCATTGGCTTTGGCTGCCTTTTATGTGATTATGCAGTGTAGTAGTTCTTGATTAGGCTGTATAATGTCTGTGTTCATTATCCCTACTGACATACACTTGATTAGCTCTATACAGAACCGAGTCTTTTTATCTGCTGCTGCAGGAGGATCCCTAAACAACTTTGCTCTGAGGCACAGCATTTATAGATTTATTTTAGTTACAGGTAACCTTTCTCCTAAGGAAAGAAGTTGGGGTTTTTTTTCCATAGAAATTTCTGAAAATTCCAATTGACACTCAAATTTTAATTTATATTACTACTCTTACAGCTTCAGCTTCTCCTGTTCTGCATACTATATTAACATTCAAGTTGTTCACAGAAATTTCCTCATGTATCCTTAAAATAAGCTCCTTGAGGTCTCTTAGTCTGCAACTAAAATATGTATTCAAAATTGTTACAAAACTAGAACAAAGAGCCTTTTTTTTAAAAGCATCGTCTTGAATGTCTTATGCCTTAGAGTCCTCCATTCATTCCTAATTTAACTGTCATTTCATTTATTCTTTTTTTAAAAACAGCCATAGTTAGCCTGGGAAAGCTGACAGATTTTGAGATCCAACAATGAAAGGAAGCAGTTAGAAAAAAGCTGATTCTCCTTCTGGCTTTTGTTTGCTTAATTATCATTTTTCCATTTTTTTTGTTTGCATTAACCGCTAAAGATGCAATAAAGACATCTGGAAATTAAATCCTAATTCGTCGGAAACTGCCTTCTTCTGAAGTTAAATGATAGTTCTCTAACACAGTAGATTCTTCTGCTGCCTTGTACTTCTCCATTTTCCCTCTTTGTAGGGATGTACAACCTGCATTTGCATTTTGCTTTATTGTTTTACATTGTTCCCTGGGCAAATCAAATTGTTAATATTGTCCTCCCAGCATTAGTTTTACCTCACCATCTTTCTTGATTAGTGCAGCCTGGTAACATTCTTGAAAAATAAAGGCTGTAACTCAGATCAAGTGCCCTGTTCCACCACATGAAATAGATGTTTATATTGTCTGTACTAGCAAACACTTCTGTCTCAGATTAATGACCAACTCTGATAAAGGTATGAAACCACCTATTACTGTCATTACACCTTCAAACAGTCTTTTCAGAAAAGTTTTAAAGTCATATTGGGGCTTTCCCATTATGTATCTTGGGTCCCACGCTCACACCGCAATGCATAGCATCCCTCTCCTTTAATTCTCAGAGGCAGAAGCCATCTGCAGTACAGAGTTTGACTTGTGTTCCCAAATACGAGTAATATTTACCAATGCCACAGTCCTGCGTCCCTTCCACTGTCAGTCACACCATCTCTTGTCATGAACTCTCCCAATGTGTAAAATGTGAAGCATTTGTAACTAACATATCTCAGCTGAGAGTCAAAGGAAGGTTGGAATGCCAGAACAGCAGAGCACTGCTGCATTCACTCTTTATCCTCCTTGCTGTTGCTGTCTTTTTCCATTTGTTATCTATTGTTGCAGGTTATTGCTGAATTGCACAGTTCTTCCTGCATTCATTTCTGGATTACAGATTGTCTCCAGGAAAAAAAAGAAAAGAGAAGCAATATTCTACACCATTTCTCCTCCCTCAGGCTCTGCGGAAAGTTTAATCCACAGAGGCTTGTTTGCCTTGCCTCTTGCACTGCTGTGACCTTCCTTAGCACTGAGCTTCCTAAATTTATTTTTTCTAGTTCTACTCTCAAATAGTGCCCACTTCTGTTCACCAGTTTTTCTTCTAAGTAAGTTCTACATCTTGAGAAATGCTTCTTGTAGAAAAATTATCTTTGTTGAAAACATCATCCACTGTAATGTGTGATTTTTAACTCATCAGCTGTTTTAAAATCAACTTCCTGTTATGTCCTACTTCCTAGAGACACTGATTTTATTGTAGCAACTGAAGGCCATGCAGCAGTATCATTTAAACAGCTCTGGTTTTATTTCATTAGTAATTAACTTCAACTAACATGGGGGGGAGTGAATTCCTAAATCATTTAAAGGTCTACAAGAAAACTATCATAATTCTTGGCATATATTCAAGTTCTATGAAAGTTACAGTAACGAGGAATATGCTAAAAATGCATCTGTAGGTTATGTGTCGCTTTCTCAACCTTGTTTCCCCAATTCTTCTACTCTTTTTTTCCTTTAGTAAAAGGTGAACTCTTGCAGAACTGAAGTGTACCAGACTGTGCTACAGGGGCAAGTTCCTACACATCAAGGCAAATCATAAGACAGGAGAAAGGGCTAAGAGAGGCGGACTTACATTTTTCTTTGACGCCTCCCTTATTTATGACTGGTGGGTGCAGTTGCTTGCAAAGTAAATCTCCAGTTGTAAGTTAAAACCATTGGATGTCACTGGAGATAGGAGCTGTAACCACACCCAGCTCTTCTGAGGGATGCCTGGGCAAAATTCACCATGCTCTGAAGAGATGTCCTAGCACCTTGCACCTGCAGCAACACTCCAAACTTTGTCTGTGTTAGTAGCTACTGTGGACTTGTCTAGAGAAAGAAATGACCCACATGCTCAGCATCAGGTCCTAAGTAAAACAGTCAACTGCCTATTGTAGTTTCCAGGGGACACTTACTCAGGATAACATTGACATCACTGGGAATTTCCTTACTCTTTTTCAAAGGGATTGGACTCTCAAACTGGAGCTCAGCTTTAAGGTATGCTGGTAACTGCTTTGCCTTGATCATGTCTAAGAGTCTTTTAGGTGCACTCTGTCTCTTACAAGAATTCCAAGAAGGTGGGAAGGGGAGGAGAAAGGATACTATACTCACTGTGCACAGTTTATTTTTAACAGAGATTTCCTTTTCAACAGAGATTTCCTTGGATGAGTGCTCCCATTCAAGTTGGATTAGTTGGATTCTGGTAAGTGATTTATTTGGGTTGTGCCTGCTATTTTAAGAGATATTTGTAGGGTTTTTTTGGAGAAAGTAGCAATATTTGCACTTTGTTTAAAAAAAAAAAGTGAGAGAGTTAATGAGGCTACAGCAGTTACTTCACTTCCATATGTAACTGATAATACCATATTTTAAAAGTGCTGTTAGTAATGAAGGAAGGGCCAAGAAAAGCAGAGTGAGGGACAAAGAAAGGGAGTGGCAAAAAAAAAAAAAAAAGGCATGTAGCAGCTTGATTAGAAAAAATGTTTTGGCTGCTACCTCCATAAACAATAAGTGGAATCTAATCTTATATAGGGAATTCTTGAAACATTTGGTTATTTCTGTATTGCCATACATACCAATGCAAAACGCTAAAGGGACATCAAACAATTTTATACACATTTGTAAGCATGATATTGATGCATTTAGTACTACATAGTAGGTAAATTATTTCATAAAGTATAATGCAGTGAGAAATAAAGGTTACAGAGTACTTTATGGAACTTTACCTCACTGTATACAAAAAAAGAGAGAGCTTTCTGGCAAGAAGACCATGCCTAAGGGTTTTGAATTCTCCTTTAGTACACTAAATATTGTAAACCCATTTTTGTCTCCTTTAGTCTTGTGTTTGCAACACCCCTGTGTTGTGCACTGTTCCCTCAAAAAAGGTATGTATTCCTGTTACATTATTCTTACTTTAATGTTATACTCCCAGATGCATGCAAAAAGACAGAAACAAGTGGTCATTGCTTCCTAGAGCATACAGTCTTCATTCCCATATAACAAGTGTGATAAACATGAGAATATTCATAAGTAATAACTATGTTGCCCATCAGTAATATATAATAGTTGAATTGGGCTCATTTGTTTACAAACTCCTAGCATCTTCAGATGCAGCTACACAGAGATAGTGAACAAGACGGTTGGGTGAGTGGTTTAACCGTGCTATTTCAAGCTGAGAAGTTTGAGCTTGAGAATACAAAGTTAGGAATTGCTGGAATTATTAAATATATTGTTTGGACCACATTAGCATGTTCAGTATGTTTATGGCTTAAATACAGTCAGAGCCTATTTTGTTTTCAAGTATAAAATCCTCTGGTTATACAGAACAGCACTTGACTACACATGCTTACTTTCAATTTGATTAATATTTTTCCAGAAAGATTTTTTCATCAATACACAAGTAGCTCAGTACCAAAAATATTCATTATAGCTGAAATCATAAAGAAGCCTGAAGGGGTTACCTATAAATAAAGTTCTCAGTTTGCAGTATATAGTATGAACAGGGCCTTAAATTTAACTAAGTTGTCCTTCTCCTATTATTAGTGGTTGTCTAAACTTGACAAGCTGCCAAATGTAGTTTAAACAATGCAAGCTGGAGATGAATCTATTAAAATACTGAGCAACTAAAGCAGCTTCTGACTTCCAGAAAATACCTAATTCTCATCCAATGCAATTGTTTGAGTACAACAAAGTATTCTGACACCATCTGTTTCACTGCCTGGCACAGAATAGAGAATTGTGGTAAATAAGTGTCACCAGGCTACCTGGAGATAACAAACTAGCACAGCAAGTGTTGTGCAGTTCTTGGTGTTAACTAGGGCTCTCTATTTCATAGGAAGATTAGACCTTCAAGTGTATTTAAGAAATTGCAGCTGTTTAAATGACCTGGCAGCTTAATTCACTTTACTGTGAGATGACTCTTATAAAAATAAACCTTTTATTCAACTGAATAAAATCAGGTAGTAAGTTAAATCGGCAAATACATTATATTTAATAAAAACACCTTTAGGAAGGTAAGTTTCCATTGCCAGCAACAACCTCAAGCAACTAAGTAGATACCTGCCCTTATGGTAGTAGCAAGAGCCATTTTTTGACTCTGTAGGCTGTCCTACTGCCTTTTAAGCAGGGATTCATTTGCCCCTGGTCTGTGAGCACAATTCCTTCATGAGAAGATTAAAAAAAAAGTGAAGACTTTTTTCACAATCCAGGAAGTTGAACCAGATGCATCATCCATCTTCAAGTGCTTGTTATATATAACTGTTTTACTGTTCCTTTTGCTTAGTTCTATGTCTGTAACACGCTTGGAGCCAGAATTGCAAGCCAAGATTCGAGAGAACAGCCCTGAACTAGAACGTGTATACTTTAATAAAGGATTATAATTCAATGAGGGACTTGTGAACTTACTTTTGAATTAAGTACCAACATATTTGAAGATGAGATCTCACTTTTGACTTGTCCTTTTGTTAAAAAACTTTTACATTTAAAGACTGTCCTTGGTGTAGTGTTTAAATTACAAAAGGTCAGTTTGTCCACTTTGGTATCAATTAAAAGTTTAACCATACATATCAAAAAATGTTTACATAAGCTCTCAAGCAGCTAAAATAACAATAAACAAGCACACAAAGAAAAATAGATGCTATTATATTGGATTTGCCACCTCTTCCAGTAATAGTGGGGCAGGGATCGCTTTGTGAAAAGTCATAGAGCAACTGAACGAAGTTGCCACCCTCTGGCAGCAACAGGTCGGGTAGCTGAACGAGTCAGAAGGTTGTGCAGGAAGGGCTTTTTACCAGGAGGTTGATTAGGTTGTAGGTTTTCCCTGTTAGCACAGAACCGTTTCTTTAAGGTAGATGTTGGAGGAGCCTGGAGCTTCTGCACAGTGTGGTACTGTTCAGCAATACAAGCTGCTTTCTTCCGCAGGTCTAGTTTTACCAGCATCATGTTGTTCTGCAGTTCTGCCAGAGTTTGGTCCTGAGAAAGGGAAGGCAGTATTTTTAGCAATATGAAAAGTTGCCTAACTCCTTGGTTACTACGAACTGCAGAGGATAAACTGTCTTTGCCAGAATTCATTATCTGATGTGCGAAATAAGGCCGTGTATAAAAGCTCTTACTGTGAACCATGCAGCAGTTCAGTAACCAAACAGGAACAGCAAGGCTAAATCCACTTCACTCTATCACAGTTGCTCTGGCAGGGTTAGGGTTAGGGTTATGCTGCCAGAGCAACTGTGATAGAGTGAAGTGAATAAGGAAATGAGAACTCTGAATTCTCCTACATTAAGTGCAAGCTGTCAGTTAACTGAACAGGAACAATTTGGGTCTCCTTTGGAGAGTTAAATATGCAGCCAGACTCAGCCATTGAAAAAAATGAGCAATATAGCTCTGTTAACCTAATAAGCAGTACGTGTCCAGAGAGCAAGTCATTTTTAGTTGCAGCTGCAAGAATCTAGGTGACTCTGATTATGGCAAAGTGCAGAGACTAAACCCGCCCTGTGCAACACACAATAAGACAGACACTTTACCTGTCTGGCCAGAATGTCATCACATGCACCAAGGGCTTCCCGGAGTTTCCCTGCACTGGTGCTGTGGCAGCACGCCCTCTCCGCAGACTGAAGAGACTCTCCAAGTTTTTGTAACTCTGACCGCAGCAATCTGACATTCTACAGGAGAGAGAGAGAGAGAGAGAGAGAGAGAAAGAGAGAGAGGTTTAATACAACACTTTCAGTTGACATTGTCCTGCAAACAAAGCCACTCCAGGGTAATTCAGACATGCAGTACTGAGAGAGGATCTCCTCTGAGTGAGGTACACTGGGAATCAGTGATACCAACACCTTCCACATCTCTAGTAAAGGTTTGTTTTCAACAGACCCATTTCAACTTCAACCATTTGTTTAAAAACCTGGAGACAGCAGCTCCAAGTGTTCCTTTCTGTAACACAGAGATGGAGTTACCTTCTGTCCATCCTCCAGCTTCCTGTCTACATCCACAGTAATGGATTTGGCGGAGGGAGGTGGCTCCAGTAATTTCTGGTACTTGCGCAACTCTAGGAACAGACAGAAAGTAGTGAGCAACAGTACATTCATAAGCTTCCAGTGTTTCTGTGTCTCAAGGACTTCCCTTGAGACAAGTTGCCACAGGCAAGCTGAGAAGAGTTTTGAGTTCGTGTAGACATGCACAAACATGCCAGGCATCTGCCTTTCAGTTACACAAAGGGACTTCAGAATTTGAACAGGGAGATGATCCTGCCCTACAGTCCATTTTCACCTGAAAATGAAGTGAAGCCCTGTCCATCCAGCACATCCTATCCATCCTATCATCAACAGCTCAGAATAGTCATTTCAGGATGTCTGAATCCAATGTACCCTACTGAAAAAAGTATGTCTAACGCTCTACAATGATTTCTCAGGCATAGCTCAGAACTAGTGCAGCATCACTGCCGTACCTGCTGTTGCAGTGTTTAACTCCATTTGACATTGCTCCAGTTTGGCTTTAGTATCTGCCAGCTCCTGTTGCAGAGCACACGAGGTAGCCACTCGCTTTGATCGACGCAAGCCTGGCCCCGAGTCCTTTTGCTTAGTATCCAGGCTCTCCAATTTTTGTTTTGCCTCCTGCAGAGCAGCTTGGAGTTCCTCAATCTTCTCATCACGCTCCTTAAAAAGCAAGTTTGTTCAAATATTCAACAAATATTCAACACAGCTTTTCTGAAACTTGAAATGTCTTTCTTCAGTGTGTGGATCAAGCTATCGAATACTATCACAAAAAAATACCACAAAAGGCAATTTTTTTTCTTTCAGTTTGCATAAGTCACCTTCCTGGACTCAAGTACCCCAAGTCCCCTCCTAACCCACTGCCACTTCCCTCACGTCATTACATTGCCCTGAACAAACCTGGATCTCCTCCTGGTAATAGTCAGTCAGTGACTCCTTCAGGTTATTCAGTTTATCCTCATACAGTTCCTCCAGCAGCTCCTTCTGAGCATCCACATGTTGGCTGCAAAGAGAACAAACAGCTACATGTCAGGGTCTGGCAGTTCTTGGTACTCTAGCTCACCCTGAATAAAAGGAGGGAGATCAGTATAAGCTGTACCTGCACCATTGCTCCTTCTGTTGCATGTGCTCCAGCATCTCATTGCAGATCTCCTCACGGAGACGCATTTCTAGTTGCAGCTTCTCCTGCCGCTCTTGTACCAGCAGCTCTCGTGCAGCTTCCACTACACGTAACAAGTCCTGCAAGGAGGGCACAAACTCCATTGCCCACACTGCCCAACAGAATTAAGACCTAGAATAAACTAGGTGATCCCCTGTCTGTAGGCTAGAGTGATCTAGATTTAAGATTCTTTTTGTCACTTGGAAAGAGAAGTTGCCAGGTTTGCTCTGAATTCCTTTCCCATGAGATGGCTTAAACAATGTAACTCCACCTGGAGAGCAGTCTCCAGAGCAGCTTCCCCTACTGCACTGCCCAGGGCTGCACCTGCATTCGCTACCTTGACACATTACAAGTTGACTCTCTGGAGGTATATGACTTCCATCTTGATCTTTCAGCTATTCCAGCCGCCTGCTTTGAGTATCTAGGAAGTTTGATTATTTTTCCTTATTTAGCCATCTGTTTTGCATGTTTCCTGATCTCTAGATTTCCCTTGCAGAGTAGGGATTATAGGTCTGCACCCAAGCTCTTAGTGTACCTATTCCACAGGTGACAGTGTTTCCAAATTAAGTATGTGCTTCAGATTTAGACCAACGGTGGAATGTTTTCCTCATGGATTCCCAGTTTCCTGGGTCCCATTATCCTTCTGAGGTTCTCTGTCATCTCTTGGTATAGTGCCAAGCTCCAGCCCCAGCTCCCAGGCCAAAGCTATCAGTCATGTTCTTGCCCTTCTATCCATAATGGCTGTAAAACAAATCACAACCCACCTCCTTCTCATACATGGAGACATCTGCTTCATCCTCACTGTCTTCTTCTGATTCCACTTCTTCCTTTGGCACTGCCTCTAGACTCTGACTGGTTCGCCTGTTGTGCTCTTTGATGATTGATTGTATGGATGGAAGTCCCAGCTTTGTAGGAGGTGCCTGAACAAGCTGAAGGGGAAAAGGCCATCACTACTAGTTCACAAAGCCTGGAATTTGTGTAGTCTTTCAACATGGCACTTCTCTGCAACCTGCCAACCTTTTTAGTTTAGCAGAATCTAGAAATACTATAAAGTTAATAATCCACTGGAGAGGCATAGGGAAGACTTGCAAGCATTCCCCTCCCTTGTGATGGAAAGGGGCCCATTCCCACAGAAGCAGGATGTATCCTGAGCATCCCATGATCCTAGTGTGTGCTACTGTCCTGGTTTTGCTAGGATAGAGTTAATTTTCTTCTTAGTAAATGTTTTAGTTTCAGTGTAAGACTTGTTATGAGAGGAATGTTGATAAAAATACTAATGTTATTAGTTGCTGCTGGAGCTCAAGGCCATCGTATTTGGCTGTTCACAGCTGCACTGGTACTGGGAGGGAGAAGCACAGTGAATAGCAAACCCCAAACTGGCATTTGGATGTGCCAATGAGATATTCCATATCATATCACGTCATGTTTAACATATTAACTGGGGCTGACAGGAAAGGGGGGGTGATTCTCTCGGGCTTTCACTCAGGCTCTTGCTCTTCCGGGATTGCGGTTTTGGTTCAGGGTTGTTGCTCCTCTGGGATCGTTCTCTGGGAACGGGCCGGGCTTGGTCAGTGGGTGCTGAGCAGTTGCACTGTGTCTCACTCCTCTGTACATTTTATTACTGTTATCATTATCACTACTATTTTAATATTAGTATTATTTTAAGTTTTCTTTTATTTCTATTATTAAACTGTTCTTATCTCAACCTACAAGCCTCCTTATCCTTGCCCCCCAGTCCTCTCCCCTATCAGTGGGGGGCAAGTGAGTGAACAGCTGTGTTGGCTGCTGGCCAAGGGCTAGCCCAGTGAAACTATCACAGCTACTTACCTGGCTGGCAATGGCTGAGAACTTGGCTACATACAGAGTTTCATCATATGTAGATGCACACGGGTTAATGTTGACAATCATGCAAGAGCACCCACGTCCAGTGAAGAAACCCTGGAACACACGGGTTAGCTTGCTGTCCCGGAAGGGAACCACAGTCTGCTTCAATCTATGGAGAGAGACCAGAGTGAGCCCATGGGAAAGCAAAACAGCCTCGCCACACACTCCCTATGGAGTTCTGGACACTCACTTGGACTGCTGGTTCTGGCGGAGGGCAGCAATGCAGCGACCCAGTGTGTGGAGGGAGGTATTGATGTTGTTTGCTTCTTTCATTCGGTCCCCGCTTTTCTGGTCTTTGCAGCGCTCGGACCCCGCAAGGTCACACATGGATAACCTGAAGAGAAAGCAGGTGATATTCACATGACCTCCTAGGTTTGTCCTGTTCTAGCCAGATTTACAGTTCAGACACCCTGTGATCACCTGCCCTGCTTATCTTCCCAG